ATTGGACAGGAAGTTAATCTCTATTTGAATTTTGCATGTGTCATATATTTCAGTTGTCGGCTATAAAATTTAATTTCAGTTACAATATTTAGGTCTTTTCCTTGGCAACATGTGCAAGCTTTATATTTATGTTTCAGATTTTTAACATAAACTATTCATCTGGGGTCAGCTTTTATAGGAAAGTGGAGGCAAGGGACTGTCATACAGAATATACATTTTTAAGATTGAGTGGCCTATTTTGTCCAGATTTATTTCTTGATTCCCAGTACACTGGGAGACTAAACTAATTTATCTCTGAACTTGCTAGGAGATGTTTTAAATTTTAGTAGGCTGCTATATTATATTAACATGCAACATTTGGATAAATTTGCTTCAAAGAGACTACCTATTTAGCAATCCAAAGTAAAACAATTTGCTTTAGTTATCTGGTGCTTAAATTATTAAAATTAGTTTTCTCTAGTTTAACGAATGCATAAATCAGTAGGAGCCCGGTCGCACAATGGTTAAACATTTTAACTAAAAGTTAAAAGTCTGAGCCCACTTAGGCCTGCATGGGAGAATGACTTTGGGATCAGCTCCCTTAACTATTATAGTCTAGAAATCTCTATTGTTGTTGTTGTTAAGTGCTGGCAAGTCGATTCTGACCCCTAGCGACCCTGTATAGGGTTTCCAAGGAGCAGCTGGTGAGCTTGAACCACAGACGTTGCAGTTCAAATGACTTTGCAGTCTGACGCCTTAGCCTACAGTGCCACATCAGGACTGTTTTCTCAGTTCTAAATCTGGCTCATGAGATTGCTGTGAGTTGAGATTTGACTCGATGGCACCTAACAATCAGACTAGCTATAACAATCCTTATATCTAGTTTGAAACTCCCTGAAAACTCTGTTTTAGTGTGAAATGCATTAATAACTAATGTTTAATAATTTTCATACACACGTAACCATAATGATAATAATATTTTTTTAAAAAAACAAGATTAGTCAATTGTATAATTTGTGTCTAGTAGTGGTTACAAGTTAGACCGATAACCTCAAGGTCAGCTGTTTGAAACTATCTGCCACTTAGCTGCGGAAAGATGAGGCTTTCTACTCCTGTAAAGATTTACAGCCTCGGAAACCCAATGCAGGGTCACTATGAGTGGTAACCACTCCACGGCACCTAACCAGCAATGACCATTGTAATCAGTGTGCTGTAGTTTTAGTCAAGATATTAATTGATACTGATATAACTCTGGAGAGAAAATGAAGGAGAAGAAATCCAACTGATGATATTTCCTCTTAATCCGCTCCCAAGCTATATTGAAGAGGAAGAAACATCAGTTGAATTCCTTCTCTCATTTTCTCTCCATAATTATAAAATGAAATAATCCCCCCAAAGCTATATAACTATCTTTATGAATTTACACACACACACACACACACACACACACATATATATATAGTTGTTGTTAAGTGCTGTCAAGTCGGTTAACCCACAGTGCCACACTAGTTCTCTCTCTCTCTCTATATATATATATCTATACATAGATATAAGGAGCTCTGGTAGCGTAGTGGTTACGAATCG